GACATGTAATGCATATAATCATAGGGTAATAACGAAAAGGAGAACTATGCTGTCAATTATAATCATTAAAAATATAATTGATCCATTTGCAGGAATTAGTTGGCTAAACTATCAGAGATTCAAATATTCAAGCAACTAGGGTGTATGGCCAAACATAATAATTAAAGAACTGAAAAAACAATCAAACCATGATAGATAGCTGCATGAGAATCATTGCAGTTCATTCTAGACCTGAGTGATTTCCTCCGGTGTATTTATCATCCAAGCTTTGCTTTTCAAGTGAGACAAGACAGCATCCACCGCCATATTTATACCATTACGCAAATCCATGACATTCACACCAGCTGCCACAGACTTGCAACCTTCACTGAGTATTGCTTGAGTTAGCACAGTAGCACAAGTTGTGCCTGTTGACAAACAAAACCTAGACTTAGTTTTGTAGCTTAGTGAAATATCCCCAGTTTGGTATATATCATAAGAAAACATGTGTACTGAAATGTCTTTTTTATTTTTCTACTATTCATGTACAAAGATTGTATGCATGAAAACTATGTACAAGGATCCTTAATAAGGTACCAAGCTTAATGTATACCTTTATCGGATTTTTCAGCATGCATCCCACAAGATACAATTGACTCAAGAAATCTCCAAACATTTTACAGACAATTACATGGACAAGTTAACATCGTCCTACACAGGGAGTTCTTCCTCCAGTGTCGCTCAAATCTATATATGAAGATTCACATGCCACTAGAACACTGAAAGGATCCTTCCATGAAACTGATCAAAGTCTCCAACTGTCCCATGCTTACAATAGCATCTAGATGTTTATCATAGATTCTTATGCTTTGGCATCCTGAACAAAATTCTTCTGGAATTCTGAATTTAGAACTCATTCAGCAATAGTCATGTGACATAGAAATATGTAATCTGCCGATCATATAAAAATGGTATTCATTTCGTATGATCAGTTGTCTTATCAATGTTAAGCGTCATCCCAATTGCAGGTTGCATGTCACTGAAACTAAAACATTTACAAAACTAATTCTAGGATGGAACAACCAAAAGAACTTAAGAAAGTTGTTCTACTGTATGATAAATAAAGAAAAAGAAACACTTCCCCGGATACCAAAAATGTAACGCAACATTTTACTGTGAAAATCTATAATTGCTACCACCTTGTAGAAGAGTCAATGCATAAGTCATAAACAAAGCTCTAGTTAGGTCGAATTTGTTTTGGGAGATCAGGCTTTTGCTTAGGTCAAGTTGAACTGAGGATAAGGCCTTCATTAGTTGGAAGTTACAGCCAGATTAGATTTCTATCCCAGCGCAACATAACCACCTAAACAATGAAAGAACTTGACTTGGCCGGGATATTGCGAACAGAATAAAAAGAATGGTCCAGAAAAATATAACACAAATTAAAACAAAGAAAAAGTAAATGATATGTAATGCCAATGAAAGGGATAAAACCATCACACATACTTACCATCTCCTGCGGCAGTGTTGGTAGCACTAGCAACCTGCTTTACAAGATTAGCACCAACATTTTTTGCTCTTTCCTTGAACTCGATGCTTTTCGCAACTGTAACACCATCTTTTGTGACCTTAGGATCTCCATGACTTTTCTCAATAATTACATTCCGTCCCTACAAACAAGAAGTTGAAAAGAAAAGATAATTGTGAAGCAATCAAGCAACTACCAGACCACCTTATAACCAGCTTGTAAATTTTCTGGATAACTTATGTCTCTTGGAAAATTGTTATCAATCAATGAAACAAATGCCAGACCACCTTCAACTTTATTCTGTGAAGAACTCAGAGATAGTAAACAAGAAAGTAACAATCGCACAAACAAAAACAACTGCATTCAGTTGCGTTCAAGTTCGGCTTTTCTTGAAAATCTCTACTCCTAACTGACCATCCCAGATTTTTGGTTTCAGCTCCGCCGATTAATCCATTCATCTACATTTAGCTAGCAACATCTCTACTTTTTATAGCACCCCCAATGGATGTTCTTCTAGTGCATTCCTAATTCTGTATCTAATATCATGTCTAGAACCATCTTAAGTGATTCTTGAAATCACACGGGCCAATATTTCATTTTGACTCACTTTGCTGTTAGGATATAAAATTATAACGCTCAACCCTCACTAAAACATCGGAGTTTTGGTGTAGTGGCAGGTGTTAGATCTAATAAGAACTTGAGATCTAAAACCATATAGCCATGATTAATTCGAAGAGATTGACAATACACATATAACCCCATGATTATATTTAAATACCCATTAACCCAACTTAATTGATCACTTTAGTGGGTTATCCTGAAAGATAGCAATACACATTGATTAATCATATGTGCCCACAAATAGATTTATTAGATTAAATCCAACAATCTCCCACTTGGGCACCATATGATTCCTTAAACTGTGTATAACCTTATGAGCTCAAAAATTGCTATCACTGAAATGGTATTTCCGAACAATCTCGTCCATTGACTATATCAATATAGGATCAAAGCGGCCTTCGTCACATTTATCGTGACTCGACCCATCAATGGTCACATATACCAATACAATCAAACGACATAGATCAATCATGGATGTGCAGCATGAAAATTACATGCAATGTGATCAGTACATGTCTATTTTCAACTGGTCCTCCTTTAGTGAGGTCAAAACCAAACATAATGTAACAGAGTGTCTTAACTGAATACTTTATTCTGATCAGACAATACAACCAAACACAAAGCACCAGAAAATTATAAACTCCCACTAAATCAGGATATCCTTGAATAACACCACACCAATATGAGTAGTATGCTCATGAAAGACCTTGGATGGCAAACCTTTAGTAAGAGGATCTGCTATCATGGAGTTTGTCCTAATGTGCTCTATAGATATTTGTCCACTCTGTACCTTTTCTTTGACAACCAGGAACTTAATATCAATATGTTTTGATTTAGTTGAGCTCCTGTTGTTATTGGAATACATAACTGCAGATTTATTGTCACAAAATAACCTCAGTGGTCTTTCAATATTTTCCAAAATGCGCAGTCCAGTGATAAAATTTCGCAACCATATTCCATGATTTGATGCCTCATAGCAAGCTACAAACTCGGCTGCCATAGTGGAGGAAGCTACAAGTGTCTGCTTTACACTTTTTCATGATATAGCTCCTCCTGCTAACATATAGATGTAGCCTGATGTAGACTTTCTGCTATCTTGGCATCCAGTAAAATCAGAGTCCAAATACCCAATGACCTCCAACTGTTCTGATTTTCTATATGTGAGCATATAATCTTTTGTTTTCTGAAGATACCTCATAACCCTTTTGACTGCTATCCAATGATCCATACCAGGATTGCTTAAGTATCTGCCTAACATCCTAACAATATACGTAATATCCGGATGCGTACATACCTGAGCATACATTAGACTTCCTACAGTCGAAGCATAAGGAATCTTCTGTATTTCCTGAATTTCAAGGTTACTTTTAGGGCACTGATTGAGACTATACTTGTCTCCTTTAGCAACAGGGGTATCTCCTGGTCTGCAGTCTTGCATGCCAAACCTTTTAAGTACCTTATCGATATAGCTCTTTTGTGATAATCCAAGAATACCCCGAGAGCGATCTCGATGTATCTGGATTCCTAATATAAAAGAGGCGTCCCCAAGATCTTTCATCTCAAATTTCTTTGATAGAAATTTCTTGGTTTCGTAAGTTTTCTGGTTGCACCATATAAATCATCTCATCAATGTCTCCATTGAGAAATGCAGTCTTAACATCCATCTGATGTAACTCAAGATCATAATGAGCAACAAGTGCCATGATTATTCTGAAAGAGTCTTTCGATGAAACCGGAGAGAAAGTCTCTGTATAATCAATGCCTTCCTTTTGAGTATAGCCTTTAGCCACAAGACGTGCCTTATACCTCTCCACATTACCATTTGCATCCCGCTTGGTTTTAAAAATCCATTTACAACCAATTGGTTTTGCACCTTCTGGTAATGGGACAAGTTCCCAAACCTTATTGTCTTGCATAGACTTGTACTCTTCATTCATGGCATCAATCCACTGTTGAGAGTTAGAACTTTTCATGGCCTGAGAGAAGTTGATTGGATCATCTTCTAACATTCCACTACTTTCCTCATGTTCTTGGAGAAATACAATATAATCATCCGGAATAGCATTTCTCCTTTCTCTCGTGGATCTCCTTAAGGGCACTGGTTCTTGAGGTTGTTGAGTTTGTTCTTCTGGAACAGGGAGTTGTTCAACATTGTCATCTTGAGGTTCCAGATTTACTTCTTAAGCAACAACAGGTATAGGAACCTGAATATTGTCAAAAGTAACTGTATGGATTGGATCTGAAGCCAATTTCTCCTCAAAAACAATGTCTATAACCTTATTTCTTCCCCCAAACTCAACATCCTCAAAAAATGTTGCTGTTCCTGTCTCAAAAATATTTCTTATAGTGGGATCATAAAACTTATAGCCCCTAGAGCATTCAGAGTACCCAATAAAGTAGCTGCTATCTGTTTTGGAGTCTAATTTTTTTTTATTTGGCCGATAAGGCCTTGCCTCAGCTGGACATCCCCAACTGGGCTTTCGATCAGTTCAAAACTTATAAGGTGTTTTAGCAACTGTTTTACTTGGTACTCTATTCAGAATGTAAGCTGCTGTCTTTAGTGCTTCTCCCCAGAGAGACTTTGGTAAAGAAGAATAAGAGATCATACTTCTTATTTAATTTACTTTTAGTACCACGTGATTCCACATGTAAGGATTCATTATAAGAAGCAATTGTATCAAGCAAATATAGATTGTCACAAGTACTCAAGTAACCAGTTCCTATAATAATTGAATTAAAAGATAAATTAAATTGATTGTTTCCAAATGAACAAGAATAACCTGATTTGTCCAATACAGAAACTAAAATTAAATTCCGTCTAAAAGACGGTACTACAAAAGTATCTTTTAAATCCAAATATGAACCAGTTCCTAACAACAACCTAAAGTGCCCAATTGCTTCCACATCTACCGATTGTCCGTCGCCCACAAAGATATGTCTTTCAACATCACTTGGCTTTCGGTAGCTCAGGCAACCCTGCATAGAAACACTTATGTGAGTAGTAGCACCAGAGTCTAACCACCAAGTGTTTCTAGGTACTGAAGCTAAATTAACCCCAGAACAGACCAAAGTAAGGAACGTACCCTTATTATCACGTCAGGCATGATATTTTGTACAATCCTTCTTAACGTGTCCAGGTTTGTTACAGAAGAAACAACCCTGATTATCCTTATGTTGTTTCTTCTGAACTGGACCCTTAGCAGCTTCTTTATCATTCTTCCTTTTCTTGCCCTTATCCTTAGAGGCATAGGCCAAATGAGCACTTTCAGTCTTATCTTGCTTCAACCTGTCTTCTTCTTGCACACAGTATGAAATGAGCTCATTTAGATTCCATTTCACCTTTTGACAGTTATAACTGACCTTAAACTAATTGAATTGTGCAGGAAGAGACAACAGAACCAGATGTACCAATAACTCATCACAAAGATCGAGTTTAAGTACCTTAAGCTTTGAAGCAATATGAGACATTTCCATAATGTACTCCCTGATATTTCCTTTGCCCTTATACTTCATTGAAATCAAGCGAGCTAAAAGTATGCTTGTTTCTACTTTATCGTTTTTCGCAAAACGTTTCTCAATTTCGGCAAGAAAATCTTTAGCTTTAGTAATCCCTACGGATTCTATGCCCCTAAAGGCTTCCGGAATGCCGCGCTTAATGATCATTAGACTCATGCGATTTGAACGCTCCTATTTCTCATACTCCTTTGCATCAGGAGTGCTATCCGCATTGAGAGGTTGGGGTTGTTCAGTTCTTAATGCAAAGTCTAAATCCATACAGCCAAGAAAAATTAAAATGTTCTCTTTCCAAACCTTAAAATTAGTCTCATTGGGCATGGGAATTGAGTTGTTGTTAGCAGAAATTGTTGCAGCAGATGCATTAGCTGAAATAAAACAAAAATACTCACATCAATAACCATAATCAATAAAATTCAAATAATGACAATCCTCATCCAAGATATCGGGCACAACATTAATATCAAGTCTTTGGACAGTAATATTAACTTGTAAGTGATACCTTGTTGCAATGATCAAACATTGACAATAACTCATGTCAAATAATGAAACTATCTTTGGATCGATTCATTATTCATATGTAAACCTTATAATTGTCACACGCTTATCATCGCAGATGTGTATACAGTCTAAATAAATATTAACCTTCCTTTGGACCGATTAAATATTTACACGAAAGCATACACACAAACATCTCACATTTCTCATGAACAATCTACACAAGAGAGGTTACTTTGGCAACTTTTTGTTTCAATTAATCAATTGGGGTGAGAGACAACCTTAATTCCTTAGTGTCATAATATTTGAATTAAATAATTAATTAAAAACCAAATTAGATTTAAATTAAAAGTTTTAATTTAAATCAACTGAATTTCCAAAAAAACTTAATTGGGGTCTCACAGCTTAATTAGGGCCCATAACTTAATTGAATAAATTAAGTATATTAAAGTGGACTCATGAAAAGCTAAGGCTTAACCATAGTGAACACGAAGTTTGCTTGACTTCGAACGCGAGGTTCGACTGTATTGAGTACGAGACTCACTTAAGCACGAACGCGAGGTTCGTTTGAGAACGAACGCGAGGTTCGTTTGAAAAATGAACGCGAGGTTCGTTTGAAAAATGAACGCGAGGTTCAACTTGAGAACGAACGCGAGGTTCGTTAAAAAAAATGAACGCGAGGTTCGACTGAAGTACGAACGCGAGGTTCGACTGAAGGACGAACGCGAGGTTCGACTGAAGCACGAACGCGAGGTTCGACTGAAGCATGAACGCGAGGTTCGACTGAAAATGAACGTGATGTTCGACCTGAGAATGAACGCAACGTTCAACGAACATCACGACCTGAGAATGAACGCAACGTTCAACGAACGCAACGTTCGACGAACGCATGTTTCATTAGAGAACGAACGTGGGTTCGTTTGAGAACGAACTCAGGGTTCGTTTGAGAACGACAAGCCTCGCCAAAAAATTGAGGTAACCACCTCCTTAAATTGAGGTAACCACCTCCTTAAATTGAGGTAACCACCTCCTTAAATTGAGGTAACCACCTCCTTAAATTGAGGTAACCACCTCCTTAAATTGAGGTAACCACCTCCTTAAATTGAGGTAACCACCTCCTTAAATTGAGGTAACCACCTCCTTAAATTGAGGTAACCACCTCCTTAATTTCCGCACGTTTTCACGCGCACGAACCCCTTGAGGGTTTAATCTGAAACCGCCGCCGCTGAATTAACTCCGACGAGGAGTTTTGGAGATTGACGACAAATCAAAAAATCCCAAAAAAATAATTATTTTTCTGTCGATTTTTGAACTCAAATCATTTAGATCCAAACCTCAATAATTGAATCAAACACAAAAGAAATGAACTTTAGAGTTCATAAATGCTACAAATCCAAAATCGAAAGAAATAACCAAACAACCTGGAAATTTTACTATTCATCCAAAAATAAAAACCTTTACTGTTCATCCGAAAATAAAATTTTTTACTGTACATCCGAAAATAAAAAATTTTTGCTGTTTACCCGAAAATAAAAAAGGTTGCTGTTCATCCGAAAATAAAAAAATTATTGTTCATCCGAAAATGGATCCGAATCAAACACAAATTAAGATCAAAGAACCCTAATTTTAATCTTAATCTCTTAGAACAAATCAATGGTGGCTCTGATACCACTTGTTAGATCTAATAAGAACTTGAGATCTAAAACCATATAGTCATGATTAATTCGAAGAGATTGACAATAATCAAAAGAGCGGAAGCTTATACCTGAATCCATGGATGAACCTTGAGATGGGTTTTGGATCTTCTAACCTTAGGGTTTCTCTAAATCCGAATTTCTCTAGCTAGATGGGGGTGTAGAGAATTAGAGAATGTAACCCTAGGTTAGGGACCATAACCCCTTATTTATAGATGTTGTACTTTTGTAATTTGGCCCCTCAACAAATCACAATTACAACCTGGTATCTACACATATAACCCCATGACTTATTTAAATACCTATTAACCCAACTTGATTGATCACTTTAGTGGGTTATCCTAAAAGATAGCAATACACATTAATTAATCATATGTGCCCACAATTAAATTTATTAGATTAAATCCAACAGCAGGGCCCTTTGACACGGCATCAGAGCAACCCACCTTCAATCCTCACTGGCTATGAATTTACAGTAGTTTTAAAAAAACCGATATCATTGTGCGAGTCCTGATTTCGGCCCACAAAAAGGATGCTCAACTTGCAAGAGCATGTTAGAATATAAAATTATAACCCTCAACTAAAACTGCAGAGGCATGGTGCATAGGCAAGGTCCTTTGGCACTTATATTTCCTCTTCTTCTAACTTATATTTCCTTCACATAAAAGTATATCATAGGCAATAAATCAACAAGAATTTAACAAAGATAGTACCTTTGGTCCCATTGTAACCTTGACAGCATCCGCAAGCTCCTGAACTCCCTGCAACATCGCAGCACGAGCTCCCACGCCAAAATTGATGTCCATTGCCGCATAGTTCCTCGTCAACAGAGCTCTACCACCCCAAACCTGCTCTCATTTCCAAATTTAAGATCAATTCAAGAAGATAGGTAACCGTACAAAGCAACGGAAGAGAAAAAGGAGATATTTTTACCTTTTTCTTTGATGCAGTGGCCCTAATCATTGAAGGATTCAAAGAAGAAGATTAGGATCATGAGATGGAAATGGATTATTGAGTGAAAAAGACTGTGTTCGAGTGCAGACCTGATGATTGAAGAAGCGATCGAAGAAGTTGCGCGATACATTGTTAATTTGATCTTAGGGTTTTAGGGTTTAGAGGAGGAGATGTGCTAGGGTTTAAGGTTTGAACTTCAAGTGCCGGGGAAGAAGAAGAAGGATCTAGAGAGTGAGATGCGGATGTTGTGACATCGAAAGCCCGACCAGACCCGACCCGACCCAATGGGTTACTAGTTTACTACCAAGGTCCCTTTTGGCAAAGACTTATAAGTGAAGACAAAGGGTTAGGTGAGGGACGCTAAATATAAAAAAATTCTATAAAAGTGTTACACTGAGTTAATCTTTATAATTTGCCAAACGCAAAAAATTAGAAGGATTGAACTAATTTTTTTAGAGGGATTAAAATGAGTTAACCCTTTAAAATGAGCGGTTTACTAATACTCGGATTAAGAGTTAACCCGTTTAATTATAAAGAAAATAGTCAAAAATTTTATTATTCTCAAACACTAAAAATGATCATTAAGGCTAAAATAAAACTTATATAACGGTTAATAATTTAGTCATTCGGATAATCGAATAGGGTAACTACGTTAATCCTTCTCCTTAATCCATCTTCATTAACCATTTGCCAAACAGAGCCTTAAAGTTTTGGAGAATTTTTAAAAGACCACTTCTTAATAAAATATTAGGAAAATCGACCATTATAGATAATAATTAGCAAAATTAACATCTTTTTGGCCACGTGGCCAAGAAGATGTTGATTTTGCTAATTATCATTTTTACAAAATATGAGATTACTAGTCTCATGTATTTAGCGATCTTCAATTACAAAAAAAAATCAAGAGTTGGCCTCTATGAGCTCCAAACCACCCCGTCTCCATCTGGGGCTACCCCGCCTCTGCCGTCGTCGTCCTCCGCCTTGCCCGCCACTCCCGCTTCACCCTCTCCTCTATTGCAATCCACTGCTTTCTCCATTCTACCCCTTGCCTAAACCCTAAGTTCTCCTTCAGATCCCAATTCCACAAAAAGAGGAGAAACCAGCAGCAATTTAGGGGCAATCAACAATATGTGGTCAATTTTAGCGGACGTTGGTTTGAAGGGAATTGTATGGCTGCTTGAGTGGATGAGATTAGAGGAGAACTTAAATGTTCGAAGGCATTTTGGGAGTGGTTGTGATGAATTTATGGTTGTTGCGAGGTCTTTGTAGAAGTTTGTGAGGGCAGTGAGACTGACGGGAGAGGTGGAGGACGACGGCGGATGATGAAGGATTGATTTAGAGGAGGAACGTATATAGAGGAGGAACAACAAAGGAGGAACAGGGTTGAGAAAGATCTTATAATTAACATTGCTAATTACATGGGACTTCTAGTCCTGTGTATTTCAAAGATGACGTTCTGCAAAATTGACCTCTTTTTGGCCACATGGCAAAAAAGAGATTAATTTTGCTAATTATTTAGGAAAATTATGAATTTTGCTAATTATTTTTATAAAACAGTCTTTTTGAAAAATTCTCCTTAGAGGTTTTTAGATATTAGTCCCATAAACCTCCAATAATTGCATATTAGTTCCTAAAATCTTGAAAATTGCATATATAGTCCCCCAAATTCAATAGGCTCCCGCAAAATGGTCTTTCTGTTAGTGTTTCAGTTAAAAACCTAATCATGGTTGGATTAACTCCTAAACTGACATCTGCAATACCAAATTACCCCTCTCTGATATCTCAAACCTTTGTGAAGCTCAACTTGGGGTTAGGATTCTTTTCTAATCATTGGAGAAAAAGAACTCAATTGTTTTTGAATATTTTTATATAGCTCATGACATCATGAATTCTTTGTTGGCCCTATGGTTTTGATGATGATTTGTCAAACAATTTATAGCTAATCTATTCTCTAGTTTTTGTTGATTGGTTTTTCTCTTTACAGGTAATTCAACACACGACAATCAAGAGTTAAAAATTCAAGTTCATATGTATGCATTCACCTAGGTATAAGTTTAGTTTGCTTACATATATCGTATGATTATATTTAAGCTCAATATGTAAACACAACACAAATTTGACGTTTTATATCATACAAATGATTTTTTATCAAACATTATTACAATAGCTTTTATTTCATGTTTACAGCTCGTTCATATTTCATAATATATATATAATGTATGCATGGTATATATACAGGAGTTTGCAAGTCATATTTTAATTTTCATGTTCGCGAAAAACAGGTTTTATGAACACTTTTCAAAACAGTGAGTTTTCACAAACGAAAATTGCATTTCCAAAAATTCCTTTTCAAACATGTTTATTTTATCATTTAGAAACTTTCCCCAAAGTTTTACTATTTTTGTAATTGATTTGATATTTTTAACGTATTTTCAAAATCAGCCCAAAACCTATAATTTAACATGTATCAGTTTGCGGTCGACCGCCACGGTCGACCGCCTGCAGTCCAGGAACCAAAATTGGTTTTTAATGGCTTGCGGTCGACCGTAGCGGTCGACCGTAGCATGTCCAGAGTCTTTCGCGTAGGGAAAATTGCAATGAAAAGAACAAAAGAAAATTGACTTGTATTCCTTTGATTCTGATTACAATTTGATTACAAAAGAGAGGAAAACGAAGTTTTGTTCTCCTCTTTGTTTAAAACTGGGTTCTTCTCGGTGGCGATGGAGTGCCTCCCTCGAATGCTTGCGTCGAGTTTGCTCTCCGTTGACGATCCGCACGTCTTGATTTACTGGAACGATGTCTTCTCCTCACGATTTGACGTTGTGGAGAACTTGCGTGGCAAGTTTTAGAACTCTGAACGAGTTGATAACTCTGAACGATTTTTAACTCTTGAAAAAGAGTTGATTTAAACCGAAAATCGGTTAATAGCCAAGGATGAGGAAGCTCCTGTTGTCGAACGTTGAAGATGATCTTCCTTGAAGGATGATGCCGATCTCCTCCGAAGTTCGCCTAATGATCTCCCCTGTTGCTGCCAATTCTCAGCTCCAATAAAAATTGAACCCTTAACTCAGTTGAGTTTACTCGCTTTTATAGGGGATTAAGGGGGTGTAACTGTCCTCTAAATCCGCTCCTAAGTGGGCATGATTTCCTCAGATCGTGGGGGAAAACGGTTCTGAAACCGTTCGACTCAAATTTGAACGAGTCAAACGCCCACGTTGGCGTTCAAGATCCTAACCTCACGTCTTAGGATTGAGACGCGAGGTTGGGTGTTGACTGAACATCCAGAACGCGAGGGTCGCTCACGTTTCACTTGTTGTAATGCGGGTCCGACTCCAGCGTTTTGATGTTGTAACGCGGGTTTGACCCTGGTGTTTTGATGTTGTAACGTGGGTTCGACCCTCGCGTTTTGATGTTGTAACGCGGGTTCGACCCTGGCGTTTTGATGTTGTAACGTGGGTTCGACCCTCGCGTTTTGATGTTGTAACGCGGGTTCGACCCTGGCGTTTTGATGTTGGCACACGGGGTGGACCTCCGCGTCTTGTCTTGAAGAGATTATCACAAAGTAATCTCTTTTGTCATAGCGTTGTAAAGATCGTTGTCTTGTAATCTTCGTCTTGGCTCCTTGAGAATATGAGAGTCGTCAGATTATAACTCCCGATGTTGATTATAAATGCTGTTGAGCTAGAGCTCTCATCGGTTGACGTGAAGGTCGTCAGATTGTAACCTTCAGCGATCTACGTGAAAGTCTTCAAATTGTAGCCTTCTGGAAGTCGTCAGATTGTAACTTCCATCATCGGTGTTTGATGGAGGATAAGCTATCTATTGTGATTTTTAGACAGCCTACAACATTTTGTGCTTCGCGGTCGACCGCCAGTTTCTCGCGGTCGACCGCCAGTTTCTCACGGTCGACCGCTGAACTCATAATTGCTTTCCAACGGGTATTTTCTGATTTGATTCTCTGAGGCTATTTTGGTCTTCTTTAGTTTGTTTTGGCTGATATTTTGAGTGGGTATAAATACGACATTGCCTTCCTCTTTCAACAACTAAGGAGTTTGTTTTACAATAAGTTTTTTAAAAAAATTAAGAGTTGTTTAAGAGCTGTTTAAGCTGATTTCATCAGTCTGTTTCAAAAGAAGTTTCCTACAACAAGAAGAGGCTTTCAATTCCATCATCTACTGTTCTTCTTGTCTATAGAGAAGTTTTCCTAACTCATTTTACATATAGCTTATTATTTTATTTTCATATCTTAGCTATATTTATTGAGTTGCATATCTTCTATTTACTGATATCATACACACTGTATTGAGCTTTAATATTTCCATACTATATATTATTGGGTAACGGTGTGTGATTTAGTGAGTGTGAGCTTCATTACGTTCTCATTTGTTATCGAGAACAAACCATTGTATTTAACCTTTATCGTGAGTATCACTTGTAATACACTTGTACACCGAGAGAAGTGTGAGGCGTGAGACGGGGTCGAATCCAATTAGGAGTGGCGTCGGTTGACGAACCTAGGGTGAGGTTGTATCCGAGCACTTGAGAAGGAGGACACGGGCAAAGTTCCTACACTTAGTGTGTAAAGTGTGATTGCATAGTGTTTGTTGTGTGAGAGTTTTCGATAAACTTGTAAACCGAGTGTGTAGACGTTCCGGCTTCCAAACCGGATTGTGATAGTGGAGATCTCCTCGAGGTGAGGAGCGGGGACGTAGGTCGTGGTGACCGAACCTCGTAAACATATCGTTTGTTTGTATTTTGCTTAGCGTATATTTTATTTGTGCATATTCATATCATTCTTGTTCATATCCATCTCATATATTTCGTACAAGAACAAATAAATCAATATAATTTTAATTGGCATTTTAATCGGGATTAGATTAGCATAAGACCCTAATTACCCCTCCCTCTAGGGTCCAACAATTGGTATCAGAGCTTGGTGCTCTTTGATTTAAGGACTAATCGTCTTGAGTTAAAGATCCAAGTTATCGTTTTTGTGCTAATCTAGTGTTGATTGCATTTTGCTTCTTGCACATAATCATTATGGATATGTATGATGCATCTCGTCTAGGTTATGCTCTTAATATTACTCCTCATTTGGATATTTTTCCCTATGCTCAATGGCGTGTTAGATTATAACTTTTTGTTCAATCTAAACAATTCAATTTATGGGAAATTGTTGAGGATGCTTATATTATTCCCACTTATGAAAATTCCAAGTGGAATAAAGATGATAAAAGAATGTTTAATATGAACAAGCTTTTGTTAGAATATTTGCTTAGTGCCTTTCACTCATCGTTTTCTAACAAA